AATGGCATTTCCGTTGTGACTCTCATTCCCACCCAAGGTAATCCTTAATGCTGAGGGTACATTTGTAATGAGTTTATTCCTAATGCATCCAACATTAATAGACAGCCATGTGTTTGTCAGTATGTTGCAACAGAACGTGTTATAAGAGTGTTTATAAAAGGCATTAAACCATTTCATCTTTACCCCACAGTAGACAATGTTCTAGTGCTATATATGCAGCACTAATATATAATGGGACAAATTACTGCTGGGGTGACAGAAGTGTGTTGGAAGGCGAAAGAGGTTCTGAAGGGCCCCATTAGCACAGTCGTCTAGGAGTCAAAAGCGCAAGGGGTCGGGGCCAGCTAGTATTGACAGCAATACTGCTCCTCTTCACCCCAGAAGCCCTGGAGGCATTATGCTTAATACAGGCATAAGGCTTTTCTTCTCCACTGCTGGAGCACGGGAGATCCTACCTCTACCGCTGAGTGCATGAGGCTCTCAGGGTCTTCCTTCTGCCCTTGTAATACAAAATATGTTGTAAATAACATCAAAGCACATTTGTAAGGGAGTTTTGGATTGTTACATCAATTTAAGAGATTAAATTGTCCAGACAAGATCATAATTTGTAAACCAGTTAATATTAGCAGATATATTACTTATCTGTAATACTTAGGGTGACCAGATGTCTGGATTTTATAGGGATAGTCCCGATATTTGGGGCTTTGTCTTATATAGGCGCCTATTACCCCCCACCTCTTGCCCCAATTTTTCACGCTTGCTATCTGGTCATCCTAGTAATACTAGATATTAGCTATTAAATATTTAAATAATCATTTGCACCCTGTGTAACAGCTTGTAACAAAGCATATTATATAAGCAGTGATACACAGAGTTAAAGAGAAATGACGGCCACCAGTGATCTCTAAGGCTACAGATACTGGCAACTGAAGTCCTTAGAAATAACGGGTACTTGTGAATTTAGGGCTCTAGGCACTGATAATTAGGGCTCTGTGTCTGTCACAGAGGTCGCGGAAGTCACGGATTCTGTGACATCTGCAGCAGTCAGTGTGGATGACCCCAGGGGCCAGCTGCTCAGGTGGCCCAGGGACAGCCACTCCGGTTGCTGCTGGAGTGGCTCCACAGCCAACTGCTCGGGCGGCCCTGCAGCCAGCTGCAGCAGTGCGGCTAAGTGCACGGCGGTAGCTGCTCGGGCAGCTCCAGGTAGCTGGCCCCAGGGACCGCCTGAGCAGCAGCTGGTGTGGCTGGCCCTGGGGACTGCCTGAGGAGCTGTCCCAGGGGCAACGGGAGCAGTGGTGTGTGGGCGGCCTGGGGGCGGCAGGAGCAGCTGCTGCTCAGTGGCCTCTGGCAGCTAGTGCTGCTGGCCCCTTCCCCCCTGCAAGCAGTGACCCCTGCTCCCTCCCACCCCAAGCAGCACCCCTCCCCCCAGCCCCCAGCTAAGTCAGGGGTATATAGTACAAGTCATGGACAGGTCATGGGCTGTGAATTTTTGTTTATTGCCCATGACCTGTCCATGACTTACTAAAAATACCCATGACTAAATTGTAGCCTTACTGATAATACATAACAGGCACCGGCTAAATCTAGTTGCACTGAGGGGTTCCAGTTGAATTGAATTAGGGCCCAAACCTCTGAAATCTGTCTGCACGGATGATTAAAGATCCTGCCAAATGGTGGTCAGTTTATTCCACGCTGCCAACTTTTTCATTACAAACTGTCTACATGGTAAAACATAGCAGCAAAGCTAGGTGGTTTCGTAGGCATTAGAACATCCCGCCCACCCCCACCCCCACAAATGGAATTATAGCTCCATAATAAAAAGTTTGCAGTGGAGATGGGGAGATAATAATAGAACTATCCAATTTTAGGACAGCTTCAGCTTCCCTGCCTGGTCCTACACATCAAGGCGTCTGCCACTTCCCTGCTATTGCTGTCTTCCATCACCTACCTGGAGGTTTCTTGATAGATGAGTGGTTGAACAGATGCTATTATTCAAAAAATCTATTATAAATATTTATAAAGTGGCTGTCACCATAGTACCTAGGTGCTACATGAGCCTTTACACCCATAATACTGTTTATCTATAAGATTTATATACTTAAAACATTACATCGCAGACGTAAAGAAAAGGTGCACAAGGTGCTGCAGTGTTCTATAGCAGCAGAGTTGTTTACTTTACTGACTTTAAGCTAAATTGATATAAGCCAGTTGTAAACAAATTAAAATGTGTCCACACAAGCCTTGCACAGATTTAACTAAACTGATTTAAAAATTGTTTTAGTGAAACAGTGGTGCTAACTAGGTGCACCTGTTGTATCTTCCCTCCATGGTCCACTCCTGGAGTGCTCAGTCAGGTGAGAGGCCTCCAGCTGTCATCAGTCTCAGGATAGGGACCCATGTACTACTCCCTTCTGACCCTTCCACATGAGAAGTCTGGGAGGCCAGTGTTCCTTCCAGTTCTTCAGCAAGGGTTTGGGGACGCTTTAGGACCAAAGCTCCGGTTCATTTGCTAAGCTAAACGGAAGACCTTGAGTCTGTTTAAACTCAGCCTTTATATCCATCTCTCTCTCGATCTCCAGAAAACCCAGTTTGAAAAAGGGTACGCAAACCATCCTTGGGGGTGGTACCACCCCTCTTGAATTGTTTACAGTCTTATTGACTCACCTTACTGAGACCCCACTGTTTTTAGTTCCTGTAGGAGCTGTGGCAACCTTCCCCCATGCAATAGAACACAATCATACACAAATCATTAATACAATGGTACCCAAAGATACTGTGTGGAATTGCAATATCTGTCACAGTGAGCATGTTTCTTGCATGTCCAGTTACAGTTCAGATTATACAGCACACCTAATAATAATTATTATTATTATTATTAATAATAATAATAGTGATATAGTCACTTTATCACAAGGAGAAGATATGATATGCATTGCCTCAATCCCCAGGAAAGCAACTGAATAGCACACCTCATGAATATATCACAGCCCTTGTTTGTATCACCCCTTCCTACTTTGAGTTCCTTCATTGGCTCCAGATCCCCTTCTGTGTCAATTTGAAAATCTTTGTTCTCACATTCAGGCTCTGCACAGCTCTGCTCCAGCCTACGCATCATCACTCATCTCCTTTCACTCTCCTGTTCAAATCCTGAGCTCTCCTAATCCCACCTATCTCCATGCCTTGTCCTTCCCCCCCCCCAAGTTCTTGGCTTCTCCCATGTTGCCCCCTATGTATGGAACATACTCCCTGATCCTACATGTCATGTAACCTTCTCCTTCAAATCCTTCCTCAACACCTCGCATTTCCCACAAGCCCTAAAACTATGTGACAATTCTTCCCTTACTCTTATGTCTGTATTTTGTCTTTTTAGATTGGAAGCTGTATAGGAGACACAGAGAGTAAATATAGCAGGGTATCTTCTAGAGAATGTTCTATTTTCTTTACTTTTAGGATATCAACTAAATACAACCCCATACAATAATGTGAACTAAAGTGTTCTGGTTACAATAGATTGTAAA